TAGCACATGGAGGGACTCCACCTCTCTATCCATCCATCCATCCATCCATCCACCCCTTCCCGCACATCTCCATGGATGCCCCTTCCCACCCCGAGGATCCCGGGGGGTTTGGAGCCCCACGCACCGCCAGGCAGGTTCCCGTCTGCGCCGCCTTGTTGCTCGACTGCACCACGAGGGCCTGGAGCTTCTTCAGCTGCTCCAGGAGGGATCTGGGAACAGGGAGAGCCCGTGAGCCCCCCCAGGCCCCTCCAGCAGGTCTGGGAGTGAGGAGGGGGTGTCCCAACCCCATCCTACCCCCCACTGTCCCCATCCCACCCTGGGAACACCTACGAGTTCTGCTTCTCCAGGTGCAGGACTTTCCTCTGCAGCTCCTGGTTCTGGGCCGTGCACGCCGACATCCTGGAGGACAGGGAGAAGGGGTTGGGATCAGGGGGACAGCTGGGGGGGCTGGCTGTGCCCCCCCGGGGTGCCCCCGTGCCCAGGCTGAGGGGTGGGGTCCGTACCTGCTCTCCAGCCCGTCGATATATTCCTTCTTCTTCTTGCGGCTCTCCTGAGCCGACTGCTTGTTCCGGATCTTCCGCCGGATCTTCTTCAGCACCCGCTCCTCGTACTGGGGGACACGGGGAGGGGGGTCAGGGATGCTGGGGATGGGATCCCCACCACTCCACACCCTCCCCAGGCCTGCTGGGACCCACCTTGGTGAGGGGCAGCTGCGTGGGCAGGGTCACCCCCTCCTTCGCCAGCAGCTTCTTCTCGTCCTCCGTCAGCACCAGCTCCTGGAAGTGGCCCTGGTTTGGCCGGAGCAGGGAGCCGGGAGCCTGTGGCTGCTGTGGGAACAGGGAATGGTCACCCTGGGGACTGTGGTGGGGACAGGGATGGGGTCGTGGGCCAGGGAGGGACAACCTCTCTCTGTGGTGTGGGAATGGGGACAAGTGTGGGGATGGGGAGGGATAGGGGCAGGAATGGAGGGGATCGTGGTTCAGGAAGGGACAAGGGATGGGACCATCGGGTGGGAAAGGGGACAAGTGTGGGGATGGGGAGGGATGAGGGCAGGAATGGGGGGGATCATAGTCCAGGGTGGGACCATGGAGTGGGAAATGGGGCAAGTGTGAGGATGGTGAGGGATGGGAGCAGGAATGGGGGGGGGTTGTAGTCCAGGAAGGGACAAGGGATGGGACCATGGGGTGGAAATGTGGGGATGTGGAGGGATGGGACAGGAATGGGGGGGATTGTGGTCCAGGGACAAGGGATAGGACCCTAGTGTGGGGATGGGAAGGGACAGGGATGGGAATGGAGGGGATCAGTGTCCAGGAGGGGCCAAGGCTGCGGACAGGGAGTGCTGGGGACACAGGGACAGGGACTCACATTGTCAGAGCTGCCCGAGAGCAGCAGGTCCTTGACGGTGAGGGCGCAGGTCGGCGGCGGGGAGACCACGGGCAGGTCCTGGCTCTCCTCCAGGAAGAACCCGGGGTGCCACATGTCTGGTGAAGGCACAGCAGGGCTGTCAGTGGTCCTGTGTCCCCCTCTGTCCCCGGTGTTCCTCCCCTGGGGGTGACCCTCCCCCTGCCACAGCCCCAGAGCTGGGCTGACTTGCTGCCCAGTCCATGACCCTGACTCTGCCCCCCCAAACTCTCGCTCTGGTGCTGCCCCAGCTGCCCCCCAACACCCTGTGCTGCTCAGCCCCCCTCAGCCCCCCCAAACCCCTCTCCTCATCCAGCCTCCCCCACCAACACCAGCCTGCCCAGTTCACCCCAATTCCCAAGCTCTCCCCACTTACCAGTCCTCCAGATCTCCCAGTTCTCCCCAGTTCCCTCCAGTCCCCCCAGCTCCCCTAATTTCCTCACAAGCCCCAAGAGACCCCACCTGCCCCACCCCTCTCAGCTCCCCAGTGTTCCCAGTCCCCCCCAGTCCCTCCAGTGCCCCCAGCCCAGTGTGGCTCACCCAGGTCAATGGAGACCTCGGGCTGCAGGACCCCAGACCCCGCTGGGATGGGCTGAGCCCGGCAGGAGTTGGTGTAGGGGTACAGGACCTCCTGGGGACCCCCGTCACAGCACCTGGGGGGGCTGTCGTGCTGGTCCGAGGGGGGGTCCTCGGAGATCCCGCTGTCACTGGTGGCCGAGGACCAGCTGGGCGAGTCCGACGCCGAGTCCCCGGAGCCCAGGATGGAGCTGAGGAAGTCCTCGCTGTCCTGGACACGCTGTGGGGACACAGCACCCATCACCACAGGGCACTGTCACCCCGGGGTGCCCACGGGAGCCCCCCAGCCCGGGGGTCTCACCCTGCCCTCGTGCCAGGCTCCCGGCGGCGTTCCCAGCTCCACCCCGCGCAGGATCCCGTCCTGGCGGTCGAAGAGAAGGTCCAGCAGGTCCAGGCTGTCCACGCTGGAGGCCATGGCTGGGAGGTGACACAGCGTCAGTGCCCAGCCCTGGTTGTCCCCCGTGTGTCCCCCCTCACCCTGCACAAGCTGCACGGGCCTGGGGACACCTCGTGGGGGAGTGGGAGGGAGCAGGGAGCGGGCTTGGGGCTGTCCGTGCACAGATGTGGGCACAGCTGGCAAAGAAAGCCCTACATGTGTGGGAGGGAGAGCACAGAGTGTGGGGGCTCCGGGCATGGCAGTGCCCCCCCCCCAGCTCCTTCCAGCTGCTGAAACTCCTAAATCCTATATTTTTCTCCCCAGAATGGCCCAGCCAGGAGCTCCCTGCAGGCACAACCCCCTCAGGTCCCCCGAGGGCAGGAGGGGCTGGGGCAGCTCCCCCCTCCAGCCCTGGCCTGGGGGTGACCACTCTGGGAGGGCAGGTTAAGCATTTTGGGTGGGAAGGGGAGGGGAGGAGACTGGGGAGGGGATTCATCCCCAAGGAGGGGATTCAGCCCCAAGAAGGGGATTTGGCCCCAGGGAGGGGATTTGGCCCCAAGGAGGGGATTTGGCCCCAAGGAGGGGACTCAGTCCCTCAGTGCCACCCCAGGCACTGCTCGAGACCCCGGATTCAGAGAGAGCCACCAGGCCAGTTGACCACTTGCCCACCTGGCCAATCAACCCACTGACAACCCAACCAGCTGACCCACCAGCTGACCTACTGACCAACTGGTTGACCAGTCAATCAGTGAGCCCACCAAGAAACAGTCCAAATGGTCAACCTGTTGGCCAAGTGACCAAAGGATGGACTGACCAAATAGCCAACACACTGACTGATGGATTGACCAGTCAACTCTCTGACTGATTGATCACCCAACCCACCACCCAACTACCCAACCCACCACCCAACTGCTCTTCCCAACCAATTAACCCCAGACTCAAGTGTCCTCCAAGCCAGGTTTGGGGACAGTGTCATCACTGGGACATCTGTCTGGCCAACCCAGACACGGGGGGGTTTTATTGCACCCTGTCCTTCACCCTCCACCCTGATGGTCCCACGGGACCCGCTGAGGGCCATACCTGGGTGAGATCCCACGGATTGTCCTCTCAACCCTCTCTGAGTGCAGGGCAGCAGGTTGGACACCAAGCCCAGCCTCCTCCTCCTCCTCCTGTGTGATGCTCTGACCAGAGTGGCAAAGTTTAAACTCCAACTGCTCGGAAATAACGTCCTGGATTGCGAAATATCCCCGACTGGGGCCGGCGGGATGTGATGGGAGGGAATGGACCAGTAACTCATTAGCCACATGTTTTTGTGCTCCCTTGCCAAGCAGGGCAGGAGGGGCCGGGGCTGGAGAGCGAAGTCCAGGTGCTATAATTACCCATGAACCTTCACCCACTTTTGGGGACAATTTCCCTTTTTTTCAGGCAGGCGTCTCGGCGTTAAATCACATTTGGTGGGTGTTGGGGAAAACATCCGGGGGACATCAAAACAAACCTTGGGCCCCTCAGCTCCCTGTGGCCACGGCTGGGCTGGGGCTCTGCTGCCTGAGCCCTCCCTGCCTCAGTTTCCCTCAGTGTCCTTCCAGTGCCTGAAGGGGCTCCAGGAGAGCTGGAGAGGGACTTGGGACAAGGGATGGAGGGACAGGACACAGGGAATGGCTTCCCACTGCCAGAGGGCAGGGACAGATGGGATATTGGGGAGGAATTCTTCCCTGGGAGAGTGGTGAAGGGCTGGGATGGAATTCCCAGAGAAGCTGTGTCTGCCCCGTCCCTGGAAGTGTCCAAGGCCAGGCTGGAGAAGGTTCCAGAGAGACCTGAGAGCCCCTTCCAGGGCACAAAGGGGCTCCAGGAGAGCTGGAGAGGGACTGGGGATAAGGCATGGAAGGACAGGACACAGGGAATGGCTTCAAACTGAAAGAGGGGAAATTTAGATGGAATATTGGGAAAGAATTCCTGGCTGGGAGGGTGGGGAGGCCCTGGCACAGGTTGGGCAGAGAAGCTGTGGCTGCCCCATCCCTGGAAGTGTCCAAGGCCAGGTTGGAGAGGACTTGGAGCAACCTGGGTTAGTGGAAGGTGTCTCTGCCCGTGGCAGGGGGCGGAACTGGATGATCCTTAAGGTCCTTTCCAACTCGAACCATCGCATGACTCCATGATTCCCTCATGGGTGTTTGGGGCTGAACACGGTGAGGGGCCATCAGCACAACACTGTCACCCGTGTCCCCTCCATGAGCTGTCCCCCCCCCCCGATTCCCAGGACCCCCGGGCCCCCCAACCCCCCGGGATCCCCGGACCCCCCCGATCCCGGGCTCCCGGGCGCTGGGAGGGGCCAGCGCTGACTAAGGCTCCGTGTGCCCCAGGCGTGGCACAGGGACAAGGCCGCGGCCCCTTATCGGCCGCCCCACGGCCCCTGACCGACGGGGCAGCGGCTGCTCCCTGGTTTATGGCCCCGCCAGGACCGGGCAAAGGGCGCCTGGGGCTCTGAGGAGTCGCCCCCGTGATGGGTCCTGGAGTCGGGTAGGGAACGGGCTGGGGAGAGGCGGGGGGGCTCCTGCTCGTTGCTGAGCCGCTAATTAGTTAATTAACGCCCCTCACACGGTGGGACCGCCGGTGGCCCCCGGTGACCGCCGGTCCCTCCCCTCAGGCCGCCATGGCCGCCTCCTCCTTTTCCCGCTGCCTCAGCGAGATCTCGCGAGACTCCACCTCCCTCAGCCCCGCCCCTCTTGGCCCCGCCTCCGCCCTGCCCGTAGTCCTGCCTAGGCTCCGCCCCCGACCCAGGTCACGCCCCCCGGAGCACCGGCCACGCCCCCATGCCCGATCCGTGGCCTCAGCCCCGTCCGCGGTCCCGCCCCTGGCCCCGGCCCCGGGGCGCAGCCCCCGAAGGCCCAGTCCCTCCCCCCAGAGCCCTCGTTCCCACCCCAATAGTCCCGTTTATGGCCCCGGGCCCATCCCGTGGCTCCGCCCCGTCCGGTGGCCCCGCCTCCCGGCTCCCCGA